AGTAATGGGTGCCACTCAATAAGGGTGGGAGGTGCTAACATTTTTGAGTGGTGCTGTAATTGCATGATAAGAATTTTGAACAATGATCTTTGGAAACATACTGTAGAGAAAAGAGCTTGTACATTGGGGACACATTACATACAATTGTGTGAAAACTAATAAACCTTATAATATGGTTATCAGTATTGAAAATGTACTTTATTTTACTTTAAAATGCAATAATGGTGCTTCTGAATATGATCTACACAGAGTTTGAAAGTTCTGTAGGATATGATGAGACATTGTAAAAGGTCAATGACTTCTGACTTTGACTCCCTATCTCGGACTCTGACACTTGACTTCTAACTCCTAACTCTGACACCTGACTATGAAAAATGACTCTGAATCCTGACAAGTTTGACTGTTGTTTGATGGATGATTAATGGGATTGACCATAGTTTGATTTTTGACTGTATATTGAAGGAGGACCATGAAGGAAACTAAGGAATGTCCCTAAAATGGACACGGTGTGCAAGTGTTTGCAGAAAGACACCTGACTATGAAAAATGACTCTGAATCCTGACAAGTTTGACTGTTGTTTGATGGATGATTAATGGGATTGACCATAGTTTGATTTTTGACTGTATATTGAAGGAGGACCATGAAGGAAACTAAGGAATGTCCCTAAAATGGACACGGTGTGCAAGTGTTTGCAGAAAGATCGGACCCTTCATCAGAGCTTGTCATCACATTTTTACTACTGGTTGACATTTTGCAACTTCCCTTTCTCTTGTGATTTCCCTGCAAGAGGCCACTTGCACACTGTATATGACTTAAACATGAGATAAACAATTTGCCGAAATTAGTTAAAAAGTCAAGGGAAAAATTCCCTGACTGGGATGGCGTAATTTGTTTAATTAATTTCAAAATTTTAATTATTCATGACATAATAAAGGGTTATTTGTCATTAATTGAGAAGGGTGTAGTAAAAGTACATGCTTGCTTCAGAACCTCTTGGGAAGTAGAGCCATCAGTCATCCTCTCACTACATTACGTATGTTGTGTAGTTTTCAGAACCATAACAATGATTGACAGCCATGGCTTGCCAAAGGTTCCTTACCAGATGTGGCCTTTCATTCCAGCAGCAGGCTTATTTTTCCCAGCATTGTACTTTATACCAAAGCAGTGTGGAACCAGCTGATTGCCTCATATCTCAATATGCAAAGAAATACATGATAACCCTACCTTTCACCCTATGGGGACTGTTGGAATTCAATAGGCCCATGATAAAATTAGCATTCAAGTCACTATATTTCAGTATAAAAATGTAATTAAAAAATATAATTATACAGTTATTTAAAGAAATGTGTTACAGAGAACATATACAGTACTTCAATATTTCTAAAAGACTGTTCTGCTTTGTTTATAGAAAATGTTACCTTCCTTTCACCTGTATAGGTTCTCATAGACCAGAAAGAAAAATCTTCATTCAGACACTTTCACACATAAGGCCTCATACACACAGACATATGCAGGCATAACATTATATATCTAGTTTAAAATTCCCAGCATTTTCATGTCCAAGGTGCCCTGGGTGGGGAGTAGATCTAGCAATAAAAGTGAATGGCTGTACATGTCTGTACTCATGTACATGCCATTGCTTCTACATATCAACTTTTGCATGCACATGCATGTGTGATGTGTTTCCCAAATGCAGAATGATGTGTTTCCCAAATGTTACATGAGTACAGGAGCATACAGCCATTCTCTTCTATGGCTGGCTGTACACCCCACCTGCGGAACCTTGGGCACAGGAAACACCAGGATTTTACAACAGGCTTATTTTATTCCTGCTGTTTATATCAGGCACCTCTGATCCATCACATTTAGTTCTGAAAAAAAAACGAAAATAACACATTCCTTTTACGTTTTTTTTTTCCTGACCTGGATGAGCTCAGATGTAGGTGGATGTAAACTGTCAACGTCCACCTGCCCATAGACCTGCATGGTTGAAAGCACTCCTACATGCTCACTAAGATAGCCCTAAAAAAGCAATCCTGTTCCCAGCATCACATTGGGCAATCAGTGATGAAACTATTTAAAGCTGAAATCTGGGCATTAACCTCCCCACCCCTTAAACACATTAGTGTCTTACTTAAAATCATATATATATTTGTTTTTAATATGTTAATAGTTAAATCTTCTATAATTATTAAAGCAGTATTAAACTTAAAACCAAAAATGTAATATCTTGCAGCTTACCAATCATTAGATTTGGTGGCTGCATCAGTTTTCTTTTCTTAGGCTTTTCTCCCCTCTGTTTTCACCTGTGATTCAGCCAGTAACACACCTCTTGTATTAGTGTCCCTACTCTGAATGAGTGGGGGAGTGTTAGATGTACTAGAAGATTTAAATACACCAACATCTTGAAGCCAAACTCCCACTATTATTATTATTTATTATACAAGATTTATATAGCACCAACAGTTTGCTCAGCGCTTTACAATATAACGGGAGACAATACAGCAATAATACAGTTCAATACAAGAGGGATAGGAGGGCCCTGCTACTTGACCCACAACCACTACCCACATGGTCCACACCTTGACACGGGCGGCCTCTTTGGAAGTGTATATTGCACCATGTAAGTTCGTTTTTTGTCTACTACTCCATAATAAAAGTTATCACACTATCGGAAGCCTCTTTTTGGGTTTATTTCTGAGCCCTGAAGGTGATTCCTGGTCCTTGAGCGCACATCGCACCCCTGGAGGTCGCTGACACAAGGATTCTACTGCATACCAGATGAGCGTTTATTCCACTGGATACCTGGGAATTCCATAACTGGAGAGGACACGGATGACTCTGGTGACCACAGTAGAGACGACCACCATTCCGGCAGGTCCCCTGATCCAGTGACCAGGAGTAGGTCATTTTACTCCAATGCGCTTTTATTTGCGCTATCTGGTTAGTGCATTCTACAGCCACATTTCCTACCACAGATGTCACAGATTTACGTCACTTCTATGATAGATTGACTTTGACACCTTTATCACCATTTACACCTTCTTAACTATGAGAATGTTATAATATTGGTTGCTTAAGACTATTATGGTAGCTGCGTTTATATCTCATTAAGTGGTCACTCCGTATCATGAGATAGATCCATTCACTCTAGCGCTGCATGTTTTTGTATATGATTGTCAACGTCCACCTGCCCATAGACCTGCATGGTTGAAAGCACTCCTACATGCTCACTAAGATAGCCCTAAAAAAGCAATCCTGTTCCCAGCATCACATTGGGCAATCAGTGATGAAACTATTTAAAGCTGAAATCTGGGCATTAACCTCCCCACCCCTTAAACAAATTAGTGTCTTACTTAAAATCATATATATATTTGTTTTTAATATGTTAATAGTTTAAATCTTCTATAATTATTAAAGCAGTATTAAACTTAAAACCAAAAATGTAATATCTTGCAGCTTACCAATCATTAGATTTGGTGGCTGCATCAGTTTTCTTTTCTTAGGCTTTTCTCCCCTCTGTTTTCACCTGTGATTCAGCCAGTAACACACCTCTTGTATTAGTGTCCCTACTCTGAATGAGTGGGGGAGTGTTAGATGTACTAGAAGATTTAAATACACCAACATCTTGAAGCCAAACTCCCACTATTATTATTATTATTATTATACAAGATTTATATAGCACCAACAGTTTGCTCAGCGCTTTACAATATAACGGGAGACAATACAGCAATAATACAGTTCAATACAAGAGGGATAGGAGGGCCCTGCTCCTTGGAGCTTACCACTAATACTTTATAATAAGTTACAACAAACTGTTTTTTCTCTTTTGGATAAAGGTTTTACAAAAATAAATAAATAAAAGCTCATCATAGTAAGCAGCTCTGTCAGTGGTAAATGGTATGTCTCACCTCTGTATAAGGAAGTTTGCTTTTGGGTTCAATACCGCTTTAATACAGAAGTGAAGTGCTTGGTACTTGAGGACCAGAGATGAAAAACACTGAGTTACCTTATTTAAAGGTTACCTCCTCACTGAAAAAAAGTTAAATACATTTGGCATGAAGGAACGGGCAGTTTATTGAAAACATATGGATGGAAGGTAAATCACATGGACACAACAGCTGTTTCTTATCACACACGTTTAAAAACAACTTCAGTATGAAGCATAGAGTAAAGTCTGCAATCATTTTCAGCTACATTAACTTAGACTGACTAAGCCAATAAGTACTGACCGGCTGAACTGTGGGTCACGTGATGACTAAATTATAATATTACCCATTAACAAAATTCTATTGTAAGTGAATAGTTCATGTTTATAGGATTTGAGTAATAACAGCCAAAGTTTAAAACCGGACTCCAGTCATGATTTTTATTGCATAGTTACATTGGTTCAGCTTGGACCAATCAGAGTATGCATTTTCCATACCTGAAGGGCTGCCATGGAAGCTGACAATCACTGTAGTAGTCAGCGTTAATACAATGATAGCTGCAATTGTTGGGTCCTGTGCAAGTGGTTTCCCCCCTGTACCCTGACCATAGGAGGGCTATGGATTGGGGCAGGGGTGCTCTCACAATGGTGACTTCAGGCAACCTTGCCAACACACACTGGGGTTGATTTCCGAAAGGTAAATACTGTGCACTGCAAGTGCAGTTGCTTTAGATCCGAAGGGAAGCTCTGAAATGAGGCAAAGCTCTGCTGATTTCTTTCATCCAATCATGTGCAAGCAAAAATGGTGTTTTTTATTTTCCTTGCATGTTCTCTTCAGATCTATAGAGCAACTGCACTTGCAAGACAATGTTTTATGATACCCCTTGCTTTACCAAAGTAAATGTAATTCAATTAAAGTTTACATATATTTTAATTTAACCACCTTCCGCCTGCCATATAGTTCAATGACGGGCACAAGGTGGTTCTCTCGTTCTGGGAGGACGTCATATGACGTCCTCCCATTCTCACTGCACATGCGCAGCTCAGGGAGCGCGCAGCGATCGGTGGTGCGCTGTGTCCCTTGGACACAGCGGATCACCGATCACGGAAAGAGCCGAAGATGTCGGCTCGGTTATATGATCAGCCAATCACAGCTGATCACATGTAAACAGGGAAATGCCGGTTATCGGCATTTCTCTCCTCTCGAGCTGTCACGCTGACAGCTCAAGAGGAGAGGAGAGCTGGTAATCGGCTTTCCGCGGAGGGGACATCTACACTGATCATCAGGGCACTGATTATCAGTGTGCCCTGATGATCAGTGTAGCCCCAGCAGTGTCACCTGTCAGTGTCCATCAGTGCCTGATACCAGTGCCCATCAGTGCCACATCAATGCCACATATCAGTGCCTACCAGTGCACATCAATGCCACATATCAGTGCCCATCTGAGCTGCCTTTCAGTGTCACCCATCAGTTGCAGTCAGTGCCACCTATTAATGCCAATCAGTGCCAGTCAGTGCCGCCTATCAGTGCCAGTCAGTGCTGCCTATCAGTGCCAGTCAGTACAACCTAACAGTGCCAGTCAGTGCTGCCTATCAGTGCCAGTCAGTGCTGCCTATCAGTGCCATATATCAGTGCCATGTATCAGTGCTGTCTTTCAGTGCCCATCAGTGATGCCTGTCAATGCCCATCAGTGCCACCTACCAGTGCCTCCTCATCAGTGCCCATCAGTGCCACCTATCAGTGTCCATTAGTGCAGCCTATCAGTGCCCACCACTGCAGCCTCATTAGCGTATATCAGTGAAGGAGAAAAATCACTTATTTACAAAATTTTATAGCAAAAACTTAGAAAAAACGTTTTTATGCCAAACTTTTCAGTGGTTTTTGGTTTGTTTAGGAAAAAATAAAAAACCCAGAGGTGATTAAATACCACCAAAAAGAAAGCTCTATCTGTCACAAAAAAATGATACAAATGTCATAGGGGAACAGTGTTGTATGACCGCGCAATTGTCATTCAAAGTGCGACAGCGCTGAAAGCTGGAAATTGGCCTGGGCAGGAAGGGGGTATAAGTGCCCTGTAGGCTAGCGGTTAAGAAAGAAAAATATTTCTTGGCTGTTATGTTGAGGCTTGAAGGCATGATTAATATTTTTGTATTGCAGCAATGGCACGTCATGTGTGTTGGTGTGCTGCAGTTCCATTTATTGGAAATGGGATCTTTTTTACTCCTTAATACTCTTGTTACACATACTCTGTTTACCTACGAAATCCCTGGAAGTCAATTTTCTTTTGGTATTGCTACTTTGGGATGTGGGTTCATAGTAGGGTTGGTCTCTTCCTCCCATTAATTTTACAGTACCATTTATTGGCACCTCAATGCAGGGCCAGGACAAGGGGTGGTTGGGAGAGGCAGCTGCCCTGGGTGCGGTGGTATCATGTGAAGTGGAGGGGGGGAGGGACACCGCATGAGGAGTTGCCTTATTTAATATTGATCGGACCCTGGGCAAACAATTTCTTGGGCCCCCCATGAAATTTTGCTCTCCACTTGCTCTGAGACATAAAATAAATAGCAGCTAAACTCAGAATCAGTTACTCAGGTTACAACACACACTACGGCTCATTGATTAGATGCTAGAGGTTAAAATACATGATTTCTGCTTGCTGATTGGTTGATAGAGGTTACTGCACATCATTACTGCTCACTGATTGGCTGCTAGAAGTTACTGCACATCATTACTGGTCACTGGATGGTTGCTGGAGGTTACTGCACATTATTACTGTTCACTGATTGGTTGTTAGAGGTTACTTCACATCATTACTGCTCACCCATTGGTTGCAAGAGGTTACTGCACATCCTTACCACTCACTGATTGGTTTACTAGAGGTTACAGCACTCAATTACATCTCACTGATTGGTTGCTGAAGGTTACAGCACATCATCTCACTGCCTGCACACCATGGACTGAGAAGGTTAGGGGACCCACCAATAGACAGAGAACTCCTAGGACTCCTGGGATCAATGGCAGTGCTGGACGGGAGGGTGTGATCAGTGGCAGTGCTGGGGTAAAGGGTTGATGGGATCAGTTGAAGTTGTGGGGGGATGGGATCAGTGGCAGTGGTGGGGAGGGTGAAATAAGTGGCAGTACTGGGGAGATGGGATGAGTGACAGTGCTGATGGGGGAATGGGATCAGTGGAAGTGTTTGGGGGGATGGGATCAATGGCAGTGCTTGGGATGGATGGAATAAATGGAAGTGCTGGATGGGGATGGGAGGTGACATTTCTACACCGACCATCAAAGTTAGGGGGGATTAAAACTGATGACCAGTTCTGCATTTACCACCAATGTAAAGAGAAATTTACACTGGCCACCAATGTAATGAGGAATTTGCACTGAGCACCAATGTAATGAAGAATTTACACTGACATCCAATGTAATGAGGGATTTTACACCAACAACCAATACATTTCTACACTGGCCACCAATGTAAGGGGGAATTTACATTGACCACCAGCAGAGGTGTTGGTGGCAAGAACCAAGGGCGGGCATAATATACTTATGAATGCTACATTGCCGTTGCTATTTACATATGAATTCCACATTGCTTTCGCTATTTACATATGAATGCCACACTGCTGTTGCTGTTTACATGTGAATGCCACATTCCCACAGCTATATTTACATATGAATGCCCCAGTTATTTAGCTGTGAATGCTGACAGGGTCTGCACATGTGAGTCATCTGTACATGGCAATAGGACATAGCTGCATAAGTGACAGCACTTCACACCGAGATATTGGACACAGCCTGGGACATAGACCTCCAGGGACAAGATAATGTAAACCAGTACAGCTGGCAGGTATGGGACAGCTGCTTTGGGCCCAAAAACAATGACTGGGCCAAGGGCAGATGCCCCTTTTGCCCCTCCTTAAAGATGGCCCTGGGAAGTTCCTACCTACAATCTGACAGGAGCAGTGATTGGCAGTGTAACAAAATACTTATGCTGTAGAAGAGAGTATTTGAGCTAAGAGGGTGGAGGAGAAGAAGATTTGTGCCAGGTGGGGGGGTTTGGGGGGATATGTGCAAGAAGGGGGGATTGAGGGGGAGAGGATCTATATTGAGAGGTGGTATTTGGGGGGCAGCAGTGGCGTATAATTTGTTTTAGGAGGCAAAATTTGGGTTAGAGTTGTAGCAATCGTACCCACAGAGATGGACACGGTTCAACCATTTTGCTCCAACCTCCATCTTGGCAAAGGATCGTCCATCTTGTACAAATATATCTTTCCTCATCCCCCTCCCTCTCTGTTCATCCACAGTAACATGTGGCCTGAGTGATGAGAAGGGTCACAGGCGGCTAAAGCACAGCCTCGGAGGTCCGAGCTATAAAACCTCACGAGCTGGGTGCCAATCTGTCTTAGAAACTGTGCAATCTGGCACATCGTAAAGGTATAAACTGAGTCCCTCACTGAACTTCAAAAGACCTTCCAAGGGGTCGTAAAAACAGACTTACTTTTAAAAACTCACTTTTCATATAAGTTGATATCTTCACGTAGGACATAACTACCTAAACATGGAGCCTATATTTGGAAGGCTCAGTTTGAGGCCATTCTCCTGGTATGTGACACCCCTTAGCTCGCATACCTAGGAAAGCAGAAAAGTATATCTCTTGAACCATTCAAGGGTATATTTCATATCTAACCGTTCCACGGATGCGTCTGCATATTAATCTACCCGCGGGTGGACGGTTACATGTACCTAGAAAAAGTTATGGATCATAATAGCAGCTACGAGAGCTTCTAGTTATAACTTCGGGCTCCACCTACCCCTCCCTCCCTAAATAAGGCAATTGGTTCTTTGTTGTAAGGAGACACCCTGCTGAGATTGTAGAAAAAGGGCTGTTATGCTGAGAGTATGTGTGAGTGAGAGAAAGAAGAGTCTCCCTGTAACATCGAAACTGAGTGAGAGACCAGAAATCCTTTTTGAGCTCAAGACTTGAAACTGCTTAACCCAAGACTGATTGGCAAGTACTTTAACCCTTCAACCTCCTTTCTGTTATCTCTTTGCTGTGCTGTTGTTCTTTGTATATTTATATATATATATATTGGTTACATCTTTTTTCTGTAAATATTTTTATTGCACCCTTTTGACCTTTTAGTAATAAATCTTACTTTCTGAAAGTGTTGAACTGTTTTTAAAGCTTTTTAATGCAACTTACGAATTCCTGCCACTGAAGAGCGCTATTGTGTGTGTTTAACCCTCTGTGTAACCTGTCTGCGGTGACAGTGGTATACAGATGATTATCTAACCATCAGAGTGTTATTGCTGATATTGCCGAGTTTCCTCTTTCTCTGTACAAAAAGGAGGTGGTGGCAGTGTGAAGGGTTGATTGTGTAATTAACCTGACCCAGTAACAATCGCTTCCAGGCTGCAGGTACACAGATTGTAGTCCATTAGCTGGAAAATCTTTGTGCAGGGTGCAGCTGGGCATGGCATTGTTACGCACATGACATCGCCGTTTTAGATTGGCTAGTCCTTCGGTCACGAGTTTGGTGAGAAGGGCGGGGGTTTGACGTCGCGATCGTCACAAGAGTGATTTGGGGGGATATGCTAGGAGGGGTGATTTGGAAGGATTTGAAAAGGAAAGAGGATTTATGCCCAGAAGGGAAATTTGAAGAGAGGAGTATTTGTGCTAGGAGGGGGGATTGGGGGGGGGGGGCAAAGATTTGTGCTGGGTTGGGAATTTCAGTGGGGGGAGGGGGAAATTTTGGATTTGTAGAGGAAGAGGGGGAATTTTGTTTGGGGAGAGTTTTTGTCTTGCAAAGGGAATTTATGCTTAGAGAGTAAACATGCAGATTAGTGTTCAAAAAGGTTTTTGGGGGAGGGACATTTTGCTGACATAAAATGCGTCTATATTTTGGGAAGGGGGGGGGCGCCATTTGCCATCTTCATCCTGGACACTAGATGACTTTGTCCCAGCACTGCCTCAGTGCACTTCTTTTGCAGTGTACCACAATGCATAGTAACACCCTGCTGGGTATTTTTGTGCACTGTTTTTGTATGCATGCACCTTTATTTCTGCGTTACGCCTAGTGTAATGCATGTTAACTTGCAAAACGTGCGTGCATTAATGCATCACAGAGATGTAAATAGGACTTAATACTTTCTTAGTCCCTCATACAGAATAATTATAAAGATTTGAAAAGTCAGAGAAAAGTCAGACGTCAATACTTGTTAAGGGTCAATGTCTCAAACTATTGAAGCCAGGGGTCTAGAATGACAGAAAAGCAACAAGCATTTTCAGATGAAGCGGTCCCTTCATGAATCTCTTATGACAAATTAAAGGCATCATAAACCTTCCTACCGACACCTTGTGTTTTTCACCTGCATAAGATGTTCTTTGATTGTGTAGTTTCATGGTGTCATTTGCTGTCCTGCACAGCCTACAGTAGAATAAATCTCCCCACTCTTCTGTCAGCCATTTTTTTTTTTAAGTTCAAACATAATTCATGTAACATGGTACTGAACACAGATTAATGCATGACCTCTGTTTGAAGTCTGAGAACTGACATTTCCTATGAAGAAACTACATATCCAACAATCCCTGGTTCTCTCAGTCTAGAACTGGTGTGGGTGAGAACTACACAGCAATTAGATCTGACACAGACACAAACAGGCAGAACATTCGCAGACACACAGAGAGCTCACTAAGCAACTAGAAGATTTGTTTTTATTACATTATCACTCCCACATTTGTGATGTGACACAGAGCGGATGGCAACACATGCACTGAATACTGTGAGACCCAGAACAGGAAGTTGTCTTATCCCTTTGGTGAATAGGGCCAGGCTAGCTATAGCAAACCATGGACATGATGAAATCGATCAGCTACGACACTATCAACTGCAGCATG